AGGAGCAGGGCGGGTCCCCGGTGCCATCGGCGCGCGCCGGCACCGCTCCGGTCCCTGCAGCCGCTGGGGTTCGCCCAGGCCCAAACGGCCTCGCCGGAATCATCCGCAGCCGGCTCCGCCGCGAGGCTCCGCTCCGGTTTTGCGGGAGCTGCCGGAGATCCGGCGCTGCTCTGGGTTAACCGGGTGCGTTTGCACCGAGCGGAGCAGCTGGAGCCTCCGCGAGCCCCGAGGCCTCCGGCCCCGCGTGGCCCTCCCGGGATTTCCGGTCGCACGTGGCACTCGCGCCGTGGTGAGAAGCTTCCTCCAGCAAACGCCGCCATCGCCGGCGCTTTCCCATTCCCATTTCCTGCGGCTGGTCCCGTTGCCCTGAGAGCGCTTTGGCATGGCTGTTTTGCTCACCCTAGTGGGAGCGGGGATGTGTTTATCACTTTTCCTGGAGATTATCTGTTTAAGCACTCTCTGACAGTTACAATAACAAGGGCAGCGCGTTGTGTTTCCCAGCAAAAGGACACTCGCTGCTGAAAGATGTATAGCACTAATTAGAAATACATAACATCCGGCCACATGGCAGCCTTCTCCCGGCCGCTCCATTTCCTGCGCTCAGACGACTTTGACGACAGTTGGTTTATGTTTTCCATGAATATAATGTTCTCAGAGAAATACAAATTTCTCCCCGTTACAGAAGTCCCCGTTCACTCCGGCTCTGTCTTCCCTCTCCCCGCGCGCCCCCCGGCTCCCCCTTCCTCGCGCCAGGTAGATTGATGACCGCCGAAAGCCGGGGTTGGATCGCGCTGCCGGGTGAGCCGGGCGCTGCGCGGGGCGCAGGTGGCCGCGGTGCTAAATCCCGGCTCGTCACGCGGGCCAATACCCGGCCGGAGCATCCCCCCTGCTTCCTGCATGCAAAGAGCCAGGAGGGCTCTGCCATTCGGAGCAGTTTTGCAATCCTTAGGGAAAAACCAGCCCTTTGCTGGCTTTTAGTTGCTTTGCCTCTGTGCTCAAGGTGCTCACGAGCTCCCATTTTTCCCATCCCCTTTCCCTGCACTCCCGGGCTCCGCCGGAGGAATGTGGGTCTGGACACCAGCTCATGGCATGACCGGTGCCAGGACAGTTTTGCCAGGCTCCCTTCTCGCCGGGCTGGATGTGCAAGAGGCTCGAGGATGGAGCCCGCGCAGGAAGGTGCGGGTTTAGGTTTTAGCTGCTAAAATGAATTACTCTTGAATATGGAAAAACTGCTGTATTTCAGATGTTTATAACTTGGCCAAGCATGGACAATTTTCTAGTAGGACGGGAAAACTCTCTGTTAAAGGGGGTTATTCTGCAGCAAAATCTCCGATCCCATTTCCAGGATTTGGGGTTACTAGTTTAGCTCAAGGAAAAGGTTGTAAGTTTTTGTTTGTGTGTTTTCTTTTTTTCTTTTGTTTCTTCTATTCTAACATGGGTAAGCCACTCTCTTGTTTCCTAGCCTCGTTCTCACACAGAGTCAAACTGTTTTGGCTAAAGATTCCCGGAAGAATCCAGGCTGAGACAGGCACCCGGCATGGAAAGTTCAGCTCCGATCGTTAAAGTTTGAGCCAACTGGAAAAAAAAGGGTCTTAGAGTGGCTGGTGTCAGGCAGACTCAATAACGTGGTGCTAGAAACCCTGTGCAAAGTCCTCGCGCTGGCCGGAGCGGCCGCCGGAGCCCTGGTGTCCACGGCGGGTTTGTTGTGGGCTGCGGGGCTCTAATGGATGATCCCGGCGTGGAAAATGGGATCTTCCAGACAAATCCAGCCCATTAAGCATGGGGGAATGCGGGTTACCCCGGCTGTTGTTCCAGTGTACACAGCGGTTGAGGATGTTCCCGCTCTGGAATGCTACAGGTGGCCAAGCAGCAGCTCCACCTTGCAGCTCCCAGCCCTGCAGCCGACAGGGTCGGTGCTCCCGTCGCAGCCCGTGTCCCTGTGTCCGTGTGTCCCGCTCCGCGTCGGCGCTGCCCGCGGATGCCGGAGCCCGGCAGCTGGACGCGCAGCTCCGTAGGGAGCGGTGCCGGCCGCGGCCGCCCTCTCCGCGGCGCTTCCCCGCGGGGCCGGGGACCGG